TTGAAAATAATCGGTTTCATACGTTCTTTAAGAATAAAGCTCGAGTGTATGTTAACAGAAGAAAATTGAAAACAAAAACGTTTTCAGACACAACGGTATAATTTACAAGTTTAGTGATTACCGCTGAGAGAATGCATTTGCACTTCTGACGGTTTATAGAAAATACTTGTGAGTTTTGTTTGGTTCTTTCGTAATAAGTCACCTCAGATGACGTCAAGTGGACAGTCCAATATTTTATAGGGTGGTAAAATCCAGGTTTCCCGGCTTTGTGGAGCTTTCAAGTAAGACAGAGAACTGGACGTAACCCCAACCCACCTACGTCCCACGAGAGAGTGCAGCCTAGCTCCCACGACTGCATGCAGCCTATCTACCAACCCCTGAAATATTGCACTGTCTGTTGGGGGTAAATAAAAACGAAAGCACCTTTTGTTTTAAAACTTTCAGCACCATGCAATTCGCTTTACATTCGTTAATTAAATCCAAAGATAGTGCACATTTATGACTCTACTATTATCGCAGGTACGAAGGAGTTCGACTGAAAACCTCAAAAGTTTTATAAAAATTACATTATTGTCTTGTCTTTCTCGATATTATCGTGGAGGTTGTCAAGAATGTTAAGTACGTGATTTAAAAAAAATGAAGATCCAAGATAAGCGGAGAGACATAAGGCCTGGCAGGGCATGATCATCATGATAAAAGTAATAATAATATGATAATCTCTCACAAAACAAACGGCAGGTTTGCGGAAATTCCCTATTTTTGTGCGCGATGAAAGAACTCGTTGTCATGACACTCAGCTACAACACGAAGGATACCTAACCACCCAAGTCAGCTAGTCATATCGTCACTGTAGGGTAGGTAGGTGCATTGCTGGGGGGTGGTATCAATCAGCATCCCTGAAGGGGAAGCTTTAGTTTATAATTATGACCAAGTTATGTGCGCCATATAAAATGGTTTAGCATTACACGCCAACAAGAGCCCCGATAAGGACTCCAGCAGTGTTGATTCGATCAAAGATAGACCCAAATACTGTCTCGCACGGCGACGAAGTCGTATATCGGCGAGCCAATGGGCGACCCGGTCGCCTATGTGTGAACCGTAGGATGCCCCACTACGACTGTTTTATGAGGCTGCAGTGTATATACGCGGCTGTTTCTAATAGACGCGTCGAATTGTGGCTGCTGAGTCACTGGGTGTCAAATCTTCCAGTGGATGTTCTGGAGGGGGATAAACAAGCAAACGGTCCTGACACCAAACGGGTGTGGTGTGTTAAACTCTGTGGTTTCGCGTTCACAGCCCCGATTGCCCTTTCAGGTTGTTAAAATAAACAACATTAAAAACTTATGCTTTTTCATCACTTGAAGTGTCCGTCAGTTTTCCTATGTGATTACAGTAGTAGTGTAACATACAGGTTTATCTGACATAGGCGGAACAGGACCAATGTTGTGTGGTCTGTCTGGGGGATCCATTGTGTGGTATATCTGGGGGATACATTGTGTGGTCTATCAGGTGGATACATTGTGTGGTCTATCTGGAAAATACATTGTGTGGTATATCTGGGGGATACATTGAGTGGTCTATCTGAGGGATACATTGTGTGGACTACCTGGGAGATACATTGTATGGTATATCTGAGGGATACATTGTGTGGTATATCTGGGAGCTACATTGTGTGGTCTATCTGGGAGATACATTGTGTGGTATATCTGAGTGATACATTGTGTGGTATATCTGGGAGCTACATTGTGTGGTCTATCTGGGAGATACATTGTGTGGTCTACCTGGGAGATACATTGTGTGGTATATCTGAGTGATACATTGTGTGGTATATCTGAGTGATACATTGTGTGGTATATCTGGGAGCTACATTGTGTGGACTATCTGGAAGATACATTGTGTGGTCTATCTGGGAGATACATTGTGTGGTCTATCTGGGAGCTACATTGTGTGGTATATCTGGGAGATACATTGCATGGTATATCTGAGGGATACATTGTGTGGTATATCTGGGGGATACATTGTGTGGTATATCTGAGGGATAGATTGTGTGGTATATCTGAGGGATAGATTGTGTGGACTATCATGGGGATACATTGTGTGGACTATCTGGGAGATACATTGTGCGAACGAAGAGGAAAAAGAAGAAGAAGTAATGCCTTTCATTTTGTTTTATGTACTCCCCTTTGTACAGAGGAGTGTACCTGTTGTGGCTTAGGCGTTGCGAACGCGCTTCGTAATGCCGGGTGCCGGGTTCCATCCCTGCTGCGAACAATTTGTCTTGCGCTGGTTTCGACTGTGGCACTGAGAGCTGACCGTGTAGGGCAATGGCAAACTACTGAGTGTAAAATGTGTGTCTTACTTTCTATCACCTCATACCCAATTTATGCTATTCATCCCGATCTCTATTTCTATTCTCCAAGCATGTCAATCTCCTTCATTTTTAGGTTGTGTGCTGATGTTTCCAGATTAATGACGTTCTAGTCGTGCTATTAACTACTATTACAAACTGTATATCCCCCTCCCCTTAGATCCAGTGGATACAAAATTAAATAAAAATAAAGGGACACCTCAAACACGTGGAGAAAAGAAAGAGAAACAAATAATAATAATATCGGAAGAAAATGTAGAAATTGCTTACAGAAAGAGGGAAAAAACGAATGAAGAATTAAAGAAGGAATGGAGAATCAAAGAAGGAATGGAGAACGTAATTACAGAGAGAATAAAGAATGATGGGAGAGTAAAGGATGACGATAATGATGAGGATGACGATAATGATGAGGATGACGACAATAAAGATGATAAAGGTAAAGGCAATAAAGATGATGTCGACGATGATGATGTCGACGATGATGATGACGACGATGATGACGTCGACGATGATGATGACGACGATGATGATGACGACGATGATGATGACGACGATGATGATGTCGACGATGATGATGACGACGATGATGATGTCGACGATGATGATGACGACGATGATGATGTCGACGATGATGATGTCGACGATGATAATGTCGACGATGATGATGTCGACGATGATGATGACGACGATGATGATGACGATGATGATGATGATGGCGACGATGATGATGTCGACGATAATATTGATAAAAACGAGGCACGAAACGATGGTAATAATAATGATGATGATAATAATGATAAAGATGGCGGCGACGCTTTAACGTAGCAACAGACGACATACGAAATGACCTAGAAAACCTGCCTGCAAGAAAGATGTCTGCAACAGTCTTACCCAAAAAAAAAAAAAAACCTGAGATACCCAGACAGAAACGAAAAGAAAAACAAACATTCTTTTTGCCCGATCAGACAAATGTTCCAGTCTCCCGAACTTGCACCGAATTGGCTTATGCAAGACTATAAAAATACTGCAGGCTGATAGCACTAGTAACAGAATACTAGCAACACAACAAAGGGCCAAGCCAGCGGTAAAGGAAAACGTTTCCATGCTGGCAGCTGCACAGAGAAAGGTAAAATAGCTGAGCAGTGATATATGATAAATTTGAAGCGGCAGTGAAAGTGTACAGGGTTATCAGTTTATCAGAGATGCAGACAGCTTGTGGGTTAGCCATTGTTATTGGTTTTTGTGCTTGATGGAGGTACAGTGTATTTTTCTTCTTCGTCTTTGTTCACCGTCGGCTCTGTGGCTGAGTCGATGCGAACGCTTTGTAATGCCGGTATGCCAGGTTCGATCCCAGCTGCGGGCCATGCGCCTTGCGTTGGTTTCGACAGTGGTATCAAGAAAGCCGACCGCCCAGGAAGCAATGGCAAACTACTGGACGTAAATCTGCCTAGGGAAACCACACAACAGCCAGGGGCTGCTGGGGTTGGTTCTGCAACGTCCTGTAAAGGATACGCAGATAACTAACCTTTGTTCACCAGCTGTAAACTCCGGTGGAAAGTCTTGGTTGTTCGTCGATGTGGCCTATGGCTTTGTGCCAGGGTCTGAGTTTTATCTGTACATGCATTTTCCTGGCTTATTTGTGTGCAGTTGGTTGTTTTTTGCCAGTCGGGCAGATGCACTTCGACTTTGAAGGAAGCTCCACTTACGACATGCTTGTTGGGGAGGCAGTAGGTCTGTTCTTGTTTTGCCCACAATGGGAACCTGGCACCGACACAGAGAAGTAAACAGTTAACTTTTAACCAACGGGAAGTCTATTTTTTGCTAGAATTTTTTTCTTACAGGTGTACTTTACTTAAAGCCATAGTTATATGCAATTTAGCATCGCTCTTTGTCTTTCTGTCATGCACATATATGAAAGATTCCTTGTCTTTCTGGGATCCCTTGTCTTTCAGTCATGCACATTTTGAAAGATTCCTTGTCTTTCTGGGATCCCTTGTCTTTCTGTCATTCACATACATGAAAGATTCCTTGTCTTTCTGGGATCCCTTGTCTTTCTGTCATTCACATACATGAAAGATTCCTTGTCTTTCTGGGATCCCTTGTCTTTCTGTCATTCACATACATGAAAGATTCCTTGTCTTTCTGGGATCCCTTGTCTTTCTGTCATTCACATACATGAAAGATTCCTTGTCTTTCTGGGATCCCTTGTCTTTCTGTCATTCACATACATGAAAGATTCCTTGTCTTTCTGGGATCCCTTGTCTTTCTGTCATTCACATACATGAAAGATCCCTTCTCACGCCTTGGACGCATGGGGCATATGGGAAAAGCATCCCATATTTTTACAGTGGGTAATGTAGTCACTACTTCGGCCGTCTTTACTTCCCCAGGACATCCATCCTGGTACCCATTTTAGGCTGGGTCGACCTGTGACGCCCCATACGATGATAGAAATCCACGCAGCCAGCTAGTCGGACTAGTCGCTAGTCAGTTAAAACGGTAGGTACACCAGGGCTCTATAGGCCTCAAAAGTCTGAATCTGGCCCTGTTCCCTGGTCACCCCTCGCCCCACAGTTCTCTCGGGGCCATAATGATCTACTCATACTTCCACAATTACTACCCGAGCTAGGGAATGAGTTTTGAGAACTTCATATCATCAACGGTTGAAGTTCAACTCTCAACTACGATTGAAGTTGAAGTCTTAACTACGATTGAAGTTGAAGTCTTAACTACGATTGAAGTTGAAGTCTTAACTACGATTGAAGTTGAAGTCTTAACTACGATTGAAGTTGAAGTCTTAACTACGATTGAAGTTGAAGTCTTAACTACGATTGAAGTTGAAGTCTTAACTACGATTGAAGTTGAAGTCTTAACTACGATTGAAGTTGAAGTCTTAACTACGATTGAAGTTGAAGTCTTAACTACGATTGAAGTTGAAGTCTTAACTACGATTGAAGTTGAAGTCTTAACTACGATTGAAGTTGAAGTCTTAACTACGATTGAAGTTGAAGTCTTAACTACGATTGAAGTTGAAGTCTTAACTACGGTTGAAGTTGAAGTCTTAACTACGATTGAAGTTGAAGTCTTAACTACGATTGAAGTTGAAGTCTTAACTACGATTGAAGTTGAAGTCTTAACTACGATTGAAGTTGAAGTCTTAACTACGATTGAAGTTGAAGTCTTAACTACGATTGAAGTTGAAGTCTTAACTACGATTGAAGTTGAACTCTTAATTACGATTAAAGTTGAACTCTTAATTACGATTAAAGTTGAACTCTTAATTACGATTAAAGTTGAACTCTTAATTACGATTAAAGTTGAACTCTTAATTACGATTGAAGTTGAACTCTTAACTAACTACGGTTGAAGTTGAACTCTTAACTAACTACGGTTGAAGTTTAGCTCTTAACTACGGAGGTCGGTTTTTGCTATAATTATTTTCTGATTCATATGTACTTTAACACCATAACACTGAGTTGTTTAGCAACTCTCTTTGTCTTTCTAAACCTATTTTCTGCCTAACTTTGTTGTTGGTATAACGTACTCCTGTGTTTACTTTTTCATTACAAGTCCAAAAGAACATATAGCTCTTTCTGTTGCGGGGATTAGGTTTTTTTTTTTTTGGAGGGTGGGGTTTTATGATTATTTATGTCTGAGCACTCAAAATCATATCACCGAATTAAACTACGTTATGTTTGTTGCACTAAGGGAAAGCACCAGTGTTGCCACTTTGGATCTTTTGTATCCAAATTTAGATCTTTTTCATTGCGTTTAGATCCTGTTTTTGACGTTTAGATACTAAATATTTTTCTAGATTCTTTTCATATGGAGTTAGGTATTTTATAGGTTTTTTTTTCTTTTAGTGTCATTTTAATAATTATTGAGTAAAATATTTACTAAAATATTTTTGTTTTGGTCTGGCACGTACATTGTGGCAACTGCCATTACTTAAACTTTGAACTCTCACTGGGGTCAACACTCAAATATCTGACAACCCCGGTGCTGATTAATCGAAATCGCGCGTAAATCATACTAACTTTGTTTTTTTTTAAAAAATAATTGCTCACCTTCTTGTGTGGCTTTCATTTTGAAAAAAACTTCAACATACCAAAAGTAAAGTATGAGCAAAAATTTCGTAAAGAGTGGTTGCATGATGACAAAATTAAAGACTGGGTGATGGCAGTTCCTGGGGATATAACCAAGGCTCATTGTAAGTACTGCAAGTGTGAAATTAAAGCGAAAATACAAGACTTAAAGAAGCATGCAGAGACTAACAACCATAAAACTGCAGTTCCATTTAAAGATATTACACCGCTGACATCTGTTTTCAGAACTACACTGATAAATGAGTCATCAAAAGTTGAAGGGTCGGTCGCAATGTTTTTAAGTTGCCATTGTGCAATTTCAAACTGTGACCATTTGATTGATTTGTTTAAAAACACAATTTCTGACAGTAAAGTTATGGATGATGTGAAAATGCATCGCAGCAAGTGTACACATATTATAAGAAATACTTTATTTTCTCACTTCCAAAAAGATTTGATCAGTGATATTTCTACAAATAAATATAGTTTATTATTAGACGAATCAAATGATATTTCGGTACTGAAAGTGCTTGGTGTGTGTATTATATATTACAGCAACAATACAGACAAAGTAGTTTCTACATATCTTGGACTAGTTCAATTGGAAAAGTGTGATGCAGAAAGTATAGTTTAAGAACTGAAGAACCTTTTAATCAGCAAACAGTTAGACTTGACAAATTTGGTTGCAATTGGTACCGATAATGCCTCAGTGATGGTTGGCATAAACAATGGCGTTTATGCCAAGTTGAAGGAAGCTATCCCATCGTTAATACTTATAAAATGTATGTGTCATTCATTGCAGCTAGCATTATCACATGCTTCATCTGAATGTTTACCAAGGAATTTGGAATACCTTATTGCTGAAACACATAACTGGTTTTCAAAATCATATGTCAGACAACAGCAATACAATGCATTGTATTCAGCCTTAAATAATGGTTCCACACCACTGAAAATTCTGTCAGATTGCAAAACCAGGTGGTTATCAATACAACCAGCTGTTGAAAGAATTGTGAACCAATGGTTGGAGTTAAAGACACACTTTGAAATAACAAGACAAAGTGAAAAGTGCTACACAGCTGAGATACTATATGGAATGTACAGTGATGAAAAAAATTTGGCATTCCTTCTCTTTTTACAACCTATTCTAATGGAAGTGCAAAAAGTTAATAAACTGTTCGAATCCAAACATGTTGATAAAGTTAAATGACTTGACGATCTCACTTTGCTATTTTACTCAGTTGGTAAAAGACTGGTGTTGCAACTTCAAAAGTTGATTTGCTCACTTGCACTATAGAGAGCTATTTGGCTCCTAAGCCATACCTTGGATATCAAATTGAATCAAAAATTGATGATTTAAAAACAAAAGGACTGTTAACAGAGAATGAAGAGAACAACTTAAGAAAACGCTGTCAAGATTTCCTTATCTCATTGTTCAAGCAACTAAAGCAGAGACTTCCTGAAAATCTAGATGTATTGAAACATATTTCACTCTTTTCTGTGAGCAACATACTTCAGCCAGGTAAAGGACATACCTAAATATTGTAAAGTTATGAAATTTTTAGGGGCTACTGACAATAGTGTCGAGGAAGCAGAATATCAAACAGTCCATTATGTAAACTCTTTGAATGTGCCATGTCTGCCATGGTACTATCCCACTCAAATGCTGACTTAGAAAGAGTTTTCAGTGCTATGAATTACATCAAATCTAACCTAAGAAACAGGATGAAATTAGACCTCTTAAATGCTATCTTGACAATAAAGTTTGGCCTGATGAGAGTAGGAAAATGCTGTTCCACTTATCAGCTCCCTGATTGTGTATTAAAAGAAATAGGAACAGCTAAAGCATACCAGAGTAATTTGGGATCTGAAGCTTCAACTTCATCATCCAAGCTAAGTTTATCCTGTGGATCTTGTGAAGCAGACATCAGTGAAGATGAGGACATGTGTCTATAGGGTAAGTCATTTCAATAGTTTTGTAATTTGTGACTCTTTTCATTTGGATATTTTTTAAAAATATTTTCCACGCAAATTTAGATCTTTTTAGATATTTTTTTACCCCGTTTTGGATCTTTTTTGTCAAAGAAAAGTGGCAACACTGGAAAGCACTCGTGTAAACAATAGCAATCCGGTTTTTCTTCATTAACAGCGAGTCAGATACTATAACAACATATGCATAATCAGTGCATACAAGCAATCATGCCGCAGCAGTTACTGTCTGTAATGTCATCTTTATTATTGAATGAAGGTAGCAGAAGCGCCAGATTTAATTAGAAAATGTGGGAAATGGTTCGGCCATTTAACTCAGGTGTTAACAGACACTATACCACAACGAGCAATGGTGAACAGACCAATTAGAAATCGAAAGAGAGACCGACCAGACAAACGATGGAGAGTTTAGGGGAGGGGGGGGGATAATTAGAGTTCACCGGAACTCTTATACTTGTTTATACTTCAATATGACATGAAAAGAGGGTGCTGGTAAGGTGAGATATTGCTGAATGTTGTGATCATTTAAGCTCCACGTCTAGAAACAATTATGCAAACGAGAGTGACCTGATAATCTGGCAGACCTTCAAAGCAGGAGAAAGGCAAGGCTAACATATAATTTGATTTTTTCTTTCTAAGTATCCAGAAACCATGAGTTGTTAACCGTTTGGCTCGGTACTAATCGCAACCCTTCAGCCTTGATTCCATGATATAAACCGTAAATCTGGGAGAAATGTGGCTTTTCTGCATAACCCCGGTCGTGAACCCAGACCACAAGGAGTGCGTCACCCGGTCGCCGCGCAGAAGGTTTTAACCAAATAAGCTAGCGAGCCGGGGTCACAGGAACTCATCGCTGGTGGCTGAAGATGAGGATGATGCAGACTCATCCGAATCGTTTCCGAGTAGCACAATTTCGTCCAGAGTATAAGCGATGGCAGTGAGTATTTTTAAGTAAATGCAGTTGGTGCAAGAAGAAGAAGAAGAAGAAGAAAAAGAATTAGATAAATATTCTCGTCCGGAAACTCCGTGAATATTTTTCCACTGTTTATTTTTTAAGGTTACATTTTCCCCCTTTGCAGAGCTTTATGCAAAAACACGGCAAAAATTTGCTTCTTTCAGTTGTCTTTCTTTGTTTTGTTTTTTCTTCGCATTTCATGTTATTTGATTAAACATTCTTTGCGAGCCTGTTATTTTTTTTTTCAACAAATTCTTCTTTTCTTCTTTAACCACACATCTGGTATTGATATATCGCGTTGTTATTTTGAATGCTACCGTTTTAAAATAATGAATACTCCATTTTCGTGGGGTATTTCCCGCATCCGAATTTACTTGTGTTGAAGTCTGCATCAGGCTTTATAGTTTCGATTGTTTCCCCTTACCCTACATTTTTTCCACTTTTCTCAATTCTGTATGAAGGGACGGGACCATGTTCAAGCTATGCTCGCACAGTAAGTTAGTAAAGTATAGGACCCTCTTCTACGCCTTCGGGCATATAGGGCTAGACCTATATTTCATAACCAAACGGCACGTGGCGGGTCATGTGGTCAGCATCACGCCTGTGGCTTTTACTTCCCAGCACTCCACCTTGTACCCACCCAAGGCTGGATCGAACTTGTAGCCCAAGTCATTTTTTTTAAAAACCTTCGGTTCCCCCGTCAGGATCCGAACCCACGACCTTCTGATGCACAGGCGAGTGTCTAGCCGCTTGATCACCGCGGCTCCCTTTGCTCGCACATACTAAAGAACATTTGGCGCTAGGCTTTTATTTACTACTTGATTTATGATATTTACAAAATCTCGCAGGCCGCTTTTACATACCAGAATATTTCCAGGTATACATTTCAAAACAGGGCTCCGAAACCGACACGGTGAGTTTTCGCTGTGAAAAACTGAAGAGTTGCAAGTGGTTATAGAACATATAAATGTTCTATTTCTGTTGTCATTCTTTTTTAGTATATGTAACTTATTGTAGTGCAATCCTTGTAAATAAATGTATCATGTTTCATTAATAACTTCGATTCTACATTACTCGTAAATTTATTTCTATTTGTTTTGTTTTGTTTTGCACATTTTTTTATAAACAGCGGAGACTGCTCGAAAGAAGTCAGAAGAAGACCTCCATTAGCAATGCGGAGATTCAACAGCACGAAGAACCTATGGCAAAGCACCTGTGAATTAGTTCAAGTACAACATCTCGACATCATGCACTTTTCCTGTGGGAACTTATGGTTGTAAGTCCTGGACTCTCGCTCAATCACTGAGGAAACAGACTGGAGCTTTTGAATTTAAATGTTACAGAAATATTCTTAGAATACCATGAATAAAGAAAAGGAAACACATCGACATTCTACTCGAGTTAAACATCAGGGAGAACTGGCTCGTAAACTGCATCCTGTCCCGAAAGTTGAAGTATTTTGGCTACATCAAACGTCATAGTGGCTTGGAAAAGAGGGTGTTGGCGAGTGCAGTTTGTGCAAAGCGATGCAGTAGTCGACCTCCGCGAAGAGGAATATTTGACATTGAAGAAAGCACTTGGGGCCGGAGACCTAGCTAGGAAAAGGGATACTATCAGGCGTGCGGTGGAGAAGAGCGACGTTCTGTAAATGACTTGATGATTGATGATGATTTTTTAAAACTTCTATTAGACAGCATTATTTATGAATTCAGATTTTTTAAACGCATTTTGTGTAACTTCTGTTTGTGCATTATTCATGAAAACCTTTTTGTCCCTCATGCTATTTGACTTATTTTCTATAATCTCCCTTGGTACATTAACTGTGTGTAAGTACATTCTGATGTTATTTCTAGAGTCCTCATATGGCTCACACAAATGGACCCCGATGCCTAAGATGTGCAGATAAATGCCCTGGCTTGGATTTGCATTACTTCCGGTGAGTATGTCAGTTAAGTGTTGACTGCAAATTCTCAGGTGTGTGTCTACAACTTGACGCCAGGTGATACGGATCATGTACTTCAGCAATATAACCTGTTTACTGACAGCAGAGACACAATCTGGCATATTCTGGTATACCACAAAAAGAGAATCTGGCATGTTTCGGTATACTACCAACAGAGAAACAATCTGGCATGTTCCAGTATTTTATCAACAGAGAAACAATCTGGCCGGTATACTACCAACAGAGAAACAATCTGGCCTGTTCCGGTATACTACCAACAGAGAAACAATCTGGCATGCTCAACCTCAGTGAAGACAAAACTGTTTATAGTACACAGGGAGATATGGACTGCACGAAGGCTTTCATCAAGGCTTCCGGTCTCTTGGTGAACATTTTATGACAGAAGGATCGAGGAAAGAACGAAGTGCAATAAAAAAAATTGTTTGGAAATGGAATAAGATCTCCTGGACTTTCCAAAACTGTACTATAAAAGCTTTGTTCAAATGAAGAAGCAGGTCAAGAATGGATCTATGGTTGACTAGACCAGTCTGGAATGATGGAACATCAAATCCAGTTTATCTGATCTCCAGAACAAGATTTGATTAAACAGTATCTTTATGACCCAACGAGACACAGTGTTATGCAGCTCAATTTATCGGTCACTTGCCATTTCCGCGGTAAAGGTTGGCTGCAATAGAACTCGACATGCTCTGTCTGTTGTCTTGGTTGTACAGTCTCTCAGACTGCTGCTCCTCCATCTCTTGAGGTTGAAGAAAGAAGGAAAGAAAGAAAAAAGAAAGAAAGAAAGAAAGAAAGAAAGAAAGAAAGAAAGAAAGAAAAAAGAAAGAAAGAAAGAAAGAAAGAAAGAAAGAAAGAAAGAAAGAAAGAAAGAAAGAAAGAAAGAAAGAAAGAAAGAAAGAAAGAAAGAAAGAAAGAAAGAAAGAAAGAAAGAAAGAAAGAAAGAAAGAAAGAAGATTGGTTGTTTCACCTTTTAAACCTTTTTAAATCATTCTAATGACATTGTACTCTGGTCGACAAAAAATGTCAGGTACAAATGTCTAATCCACAAGAAAGCACTAGTCACGCCTCACCAGACTCCAGCATTCTCGCTCCCAAAAGTCATTAGTGCAAAAACGTCTGTGTCCTCTGCCGAATGCAGGACCTCACCTGCGTGTCTACGTCATTTTCCCAGAACGTAAGCGAGTAGCGAGCTGCAAGTTCCGAAGCGTAGCGTCAAAATTTAGCAATGCATAATCCTAACCTACCGTCTTCCTCTGGAAAGTGTAAATTTCGTTTCTTGTTTTTGTGTTGAAGCATTGACTACCGAGGCCATATATTGTAATGTCATTTTCTGTGTTTTGTTTTCTGTTATGTTATTTTCCTGTTTTAACTAACTGTTCTGCTGGTTTTCATTTCAACTTGGGGTGAGGAGAGGGGGGGGGGGGTGGTTGGGCGTGTAATAAGTAAGTAAATGATCATTTCCTTAGTTTGATGCGTTCTTCATGAGGAGAAAAGACTGGGGGAGGTTCTTTGGTCCTGTATCAGAACTTGAGCTTTGCGTGAGCACCCTTTTTCGATTCTGTCGTATTTGTATGCAGACTGTTTGTTCCTTGCCTCTCAAGCAGATGTACTCATATATGAAGAAAACATCCCAATTAGTCGCCTTATTCGACATGCTTGTTGGAGGGGGAGGGGGGCCCAATGCCTCAACCTCCCCCCCCCCCCAAACTGTGCCTTAATAAAGCCCACACTATGATAGACAGATAGTTAGTCGACCGAACATTCTCACTTCTCACTGTAGATTGAACCACTCAGCCCACAAGGGTTCGTATCACTTTGTAGATCCCCCCCCCCCCTTTTTCTTTTCCCTATAGCAGCTAATAACACCAGAGTTTTATGTTCATGTTTCTTTGACTTTCTGGACAGCGCTCCAGGTCTGGCTTCATCTGTTTTTTCTTTGTGTGTGTGTGCAGTCTAGTGATGGTAGGCTCTGTGGCTAAGTCGATGAGAACGCTTCGTAATGCCGGGGTGCCGGGCTCGATCCTAGCTGCGGGCCATGCGCCTAGCGTTGGTTTCGAAAGTGGTATCATGGAGCCGACCGTCCAGCCAGCAATGGCAAACTACTAGACGTAAAATTTGCCTAGAGAAACCACACAACAGCCAGAAAGTGCTGGGGTTGGTTCTGCAACGTCCTGTAAAGGATACGCAACTAACCAGACTAGTGATGATTTTGGATTCGCATCCATCATTTCTTTAGACCAATCGACATTCAATAAATGACACAATAATTACACTACTGTCCACCTCTACTTTCCAGAATATTAAAGGGAAACATATTTATATGGATTCGCCTGGAAATCGAATTCACTTGTAAAAGTCGTGCCCATGGGAATGGAAAACTGTGACCATAGAGCTGACAGGCAGTATTGTCTTACATTGGCTGTTTGCCAGAAGCTTTGGAGCACTAGGAGACGGATAACGCTTTAACGGGATGTTGATGCTGCTGCTGCTGATGATGATGATAATGATGCTGCTATGATGATTATGTTGATGATGATGATGATAAGGATACAGCTGATGTCAAAAAAGAGCATTAATTGTAGTGACTCATCGCCGTGGTATATCGCGAACAGGAAAAACAAGAAACTGAATTCATTCTGACAATTTGTAGGATAACAGAAAGAAAGGTCAGATAATGCCGGAGTTAACGTAAACTAAAGAGTCTGCTCTCAGGACATATAGGCAGGGGGTGGGGGGGGGGTGGGAGGGGGGATACCATACGAATTAGAGAGATAGGAAGCTGTGGTATCTTTCTATCTAGATGCTTTCTTGCCGCTCTGAAAGACTGAGTTGAAATCAGGGTACCAGCACCTGATTCCTAGAAATGGATTGCGTTTAGCTGCTTTCACTCTCCCCATCCCACTCCCACACACACAGTTTTTTAAATATATTTTATGTTTATACAAATGCGTCCAGAAAGCTGTGGCAAACTGCTGGAGGTAAAATTGCCTAGTGAAATCACGAAAAGCCAAAACGTTCTGGTGTTTCTGCAACGTCCGGTGAAGCAGTGTTTCTCAGCCTGTTTGCATCCGTAGCCCGTCAAAACAGGGGACACTGTTTCACAGTCCATCTGACATCTAACCAGACACAGAAACAGCAAATTCTGCTGCTGCTGCTGCTTTTTCTATGTTTACACTTAAAAATCAGCAGGCATAGTGTGTTGTAGTATAAAGCTAGGCTGCGAAATCTGCGACTTTCGGTCTCAAACATTCGATTTCAGCACACTTCTAATTAGACCATGTTATGACATGTTTGTTAGGGGACAATGGGTCTGCCCCCGCCCACACCAGTGGGACCCTGGAACCCACAGAGGGAGTTCTAGAAAGGGGAATTGTGAAGCTCAAGGGTAAAACCTTCATGATTTAGGAAACGGCACGTTATTACGTTGAGTGATAAAAAATCCTTTGTATGTTATTTTTACCAAAGTAGCTAAAGCATTTAAGCATGTAACGAAAAGGATTTATTTTGAGCGCTTTTTGGAGCGAGGCATTTTATCTTCCAGGAAAACATTTCCCCTAAACTATTAAGAATTTGCGACATTTTAGTATTTCTTGATAGGAAGTTCCAAATAAAAGTATGAAACCAAGCAGATTTATGAGTGGTCATGTCTTTACGCTCAACACGTAGCCATGTTGTGTTATCGTATGATGGACTAGCCAGGATTTTTAGCAGTTTATCATCAAAGTTGTCAGAATTAGCCATACCACCGTTGAGAGTACATTAATACTAGATAGCTATCTTTGGTCTGGGAAAGTCTAGAAACTGTAGGTTTCGGCACTATGTCTAAATCTGACAGCAACTTTAGAGTTTATCAGTGGATGGGTTTTCCTAATGTCGGCTCTGTTTGTTTACTTATCTTAGTGTTGGGGCGCTGGGTAGATCCAATGGAGCGCAGGTAGATAGAGATGCCTTACTTTCTCAGCTAGTTAGTGTTTCTCTTTACTCTTCCTTGTCCATCCTCTCTCTCTCTCTCTCTCTCTTTCTCTCTCTCTCTCTCTCTCTCTCTCTCTCTGTATATGTGTGTGTCTGTCTCTCTGTTATTTCAGGCTTATTAAATGCCCACTACGTCTCTTCCTTCCTCGTTCTTCTCCTCCTCCTCATCTCCATCCTCCTCTTCCTTATCTATCTGGTTTTTCTCCTACTTCTTCTTTTTCTAAGTAGCAGACTGAGTGCAATTTTTTTCTCCTTGTGTTTTACTAAGAAGGAAATCTTTAAGAACTTCATGACGACTTCTCGTTGAGAAGAGACCTCGTTGAGAAGAGACCTCGTTGAGAAGAGACCTCGTTGAGAAGAGACCTCGTTGAGAAGAGACCTCGTTGAGAAGAGACCTCGTTGAGAAGAGACGAGTGGTATGTTATGAAAAGCGCCTTTCGCGTGTTTGGCTAACAAACTATTCAGTTTAATATGAAATCAGACTTTCTTCGAAAAAAAAAAAAAAAATACACTAGTGAGTATAGAGAGGCATTAGATTTTCATGCTTTGAGAACAGTAAAGTGGTGTGTTGATAAATGAAGCTTTCCTGTGATTTTTGAAAAGAACAATTAAGGGGGGGGGGGGGGGGGGGGGGGGGGGGGGGGGGGGGGGGGGGGGGGACGGCAGCTGTGCATGTTTTGAAGTTAGATTTTTAATTTATTATGAGAAGTTGTTAGTGTTACTTTCATAATACTTTGTTTAGAGAAGAGGGCGGTGGGAAATGTGATTGTAAAATATATTTAGAAGGACGAAGTCCTTTAATGCATTTTTAAAGGAGAGACAATATTTAGTGTTTTTACGTGCTTTATGAAAACTTCTTATTCTACGTTTGTGCTAACAGTAGGATGAACAATCCACACACACTAGGCTACATGTTACTTTGTAAACGTTTTATGTCGTCCCTATGTGGGATGCAATTTTTTGTTATTTGAAGCCCCACCCTGGCTTTTGTCGAGGGTCCTGAATATAGCCGGGGCATAAATATGGCCTAGCCATAAATATGGCCTAACGGCTGAAAGGGGTTTCTGGCACTTCTCCACGGGTGATCCTCATCCGCATGGTGGCACTTTATGTCACCGGGTGTTTATCTCTGGTGTGATGTTCTGGTAGGGTACAACTACCAACCAACCCTAATGAGTTTTCCAGAATTTTACCTGTTTTATCGTCATCCTTGGGATCCACCGTGTCTAGCCTTAGACGCTCGCATGCAGATCGGAAGATCGTGGGTTCGGTTCCTGACGGAAGCCGGCATTTAAAAAAAAAAAATCACCTTGGCTCGCAGGTCAACCCAACCTTGAGTGGATACCAGGTGCAGTCCTGGGAAGTAAAGGCGGCCGGTGTGAAGCTGACCACATTATCCACCTAGCGCCGTTTGGTCTATAAAATATAGGTCTAGCCCTATATATCCAATACATCTGAAGGTCTAGCCCTATATATCCAATACATCTGAAGGGCGTGGGGAAGAAAAAGTTCTTTACTTTATCCTCATCCTTGAGATGGTTATCTTACTGACTGTAATCCTGGTGGGGTTCAAGTTTCAATCCTGGAGGGGGCCAAGTTTCAATCCTGGAGGGGGCCAAGTTTCAATCCTGGAGGGGGCCAAGTTTCAATCCTGGAGGGGGCCAAGTTTCAATATTGGAGGGGGACCAAGTTTCAATCCTGGAGGGGGGCCAAGTTTCAATCCTGGAGGGGGACCAAGTTTCAATCCTGGAGGGGGACCAAGTTTCAATCCTGGAGGGGGCCAAGTTTCAATCCTGGAGGGGGCAAACTTTTAATCCTGGAGGGGGCAAACTTGCAATCCTTGAGGGGTTTCAAGTTTCAATCCTGGAGGGGGCCAAGTTTCAATCCTGGAGGGGGCCAAGTTTCAATCCTGGAGGGGGCCAAGTTTCAATCCTGGAGGGGGCCAAGTTTCAATCCTGGAGGGGGCCAAGTTTCAATCCTGGAGGGGGACCAAGTTTCAATCCTGGAGGGGGGACCAAGTTTCAATCCTGGAGGGGGCCAAGTTTCAATCCTGGAGGGGGCAAACTTTTAATCCTGGAGGGGGCAAACTTTTAATCCTGGAGGGGGCAAACTTTCAATCCTGGAGGGGGCAAACTTTTAATCCTGGAGGGGGCAAACTTGCAATCCTTGAGGGGTTTCAAGTTTCAATCCTGGAGGGGGCCAAGTTTCAATCCTGGAGGGGGCCAAGTTTCAATCCTGGAGGGGGCCAAGTTTCAATCCTGGAGGGGGCCAAGTTTCAATCCTGGAGGGGGACCAAGTTTCAATCCTGGAGGGGGACCAAGTTTCAATCCTGGAGGGGGACCAAGTTTCAATCCTGGAGGGGGACCAAGTTTCAATCCTGGAGGGGGCCAAGTTTCAATCCTGGAGGGGGCAAACTTTTAATCCTGGAGGGGGCAAACTTGCAATCCTTGAGGGGTTTCAAGTTTCAATCCTGGAGTGGGCAACGTTTGAAATAAAAACTTAAGAACTTGCAACAGAAGTGTCAGACTAAGCAAATTTATGTATTTATGAAATACTAATCAGCAAATGTATGATAAAAGCATTTTACTAAATTCGCAAATTAAACCCAATGTAAAAATACTGATACCACTAGGGAAGAAAAAATATCCTGGCGAGGCGTGACACAAGTCGACTTCACAAACCACAATCACGAACACTGTGGCTAAAAAAACCTTCATCAGCATATGCCAAAAACGAACGATCTTAAAATAACAAATGATTGATTGGCACCTTTTCGTTCCAGACGATAGTTTTAAATTGCTCAATGAGAAGGCATGTGAAACACAGCCCATGTCGATGGCGAGTGTGACTAGCAAGATCCGCTGGTGTCAAGAAAGGTCTTCCACAATGATAGCATGGGGTTTCAGGGCCATTGTTGTCAACATAATAACAAATAAGATTACACAGAATCACTTATCTGTGAGGTGAGAGGTCCGTCAAAAAATCTCAATAACCAGCTTTAAAAGTAGAAGTTCTGTTACGTGTGTCAGTGCCGGACATAAATATTGGACACCAAGTGAGCCAGAGAGTGGGATAGAGGCACGTACGACAATCAATGAAATTGTAATTTTTTAAATCGTATAAAACTCTATTGGACATTAAGGCCTTCATGGCGGAGGACGAGAAGGAGAGAGAAGGTGGAAACGAGAAGGGGGATGGGAGAAGACAGATATGACGATTTTTAACTCTTTCGGTACCAGGAAACTCGCCACAAGTTTATTGGTTACTCATTATTCAGTACACATTTCTCGCCTCCCCCCTTTCCCACCTAACTTCCACCTTTTTTTTTTTTTATATATTTTAGTTACGCTAGCCCCTTATACTTCAGTTGGTACCTTTATGATTTCAGATGCAGATGTGTATTATTAAATTCCATTAGATTAAATAGAATTCAAGTTTAGGTTTAGACAGCGAATCAACATCATGGCACAAGGGGTAACCCATGAGTGCTCCGTTCTACTTCTAACTCAAGCCCGAGTCCGAAAAATCTCAGCGCAGTGCATGAACTCCGCAGCACCAGGGAGGGTACCGAAATACTTTGTGTAGATTTTAAACTCCAAATTTGACCCTGGCAGCGCCCGTTGCGTGAAATAATCTATAGTACTGAAAGTACTGAACCGAGAAATAAATGGGACTGAAAGAGAGAAGAGGTTAGAGAGTTCTGGCTTTCAAAGGTTTATACTAGCGAGACGATACCATGACACTGTGTGAAATAGGGAGGTTTGAGCTTCACAGTCCTTATCTCTGTGTGCGTGTGTGTCTGTGGTGTGTGTATGGTGTGTGCGTGCGTTTGTGTGTGTAAGAGAGAGAGAGAGAGAGAGAGAGAGAGAGAGAGAGAGAGAAAGAGGGAGAGAGAGAGACGAGCATGAAAGACTGGCGACTTCAACTAAAAGTACTCGTGATTTCATGACAGTTGTTGACACCACATGTTGAGGTTTTTTGTTCTGAAACTATCAGCTCTAAGAATATCTGCAATCATTTTCCTCAATATTTTCTCAAGAAAGACACATTTGCTGATGTCTGTTTGTGTTTGGATATTCCAGAAAGATCTGCAAGAACTGCCGCTGTCTTGCGGAAGACCATGACATGCCATCCTGCCAGCAAAGGGACTACCGACCAATGAGCATGTTGTTTCAGTCATGTGACTCTATATTACCACCAGCGGATCCCAAACTTGACTGGGGCGCAAAGTTCCAGAAACTCGCAATTACAGACCCAGGGGATCTCAGTCAGCTGAAGGCACCACAGAATGATGTTGTCCTAACAAAGCTAATCAGTGAGAATATGGTGGGTATTAGTAGTAGTAATACATTTTACCTCACCCCACATAAACACCCGAAAGTGCCACCATGTGGATGAGGATCACCCGTGGAGAGATCCCAGAAACCGCGTTCAGCAATTAAGTCATATTTATATGGCTGGGCTATATTGTGGCCCCTGGCAAGAGCCAGGGTGGGGCTTCAAAATAGCGAAAAGTTGCATCCCACACTGGCGATAACGTGATTTTATAAACGGTGGGTATTTCCCTTTAAGGCAGGGTAGAGCTTGTGTGTTTATTTAGGTTTTGTGTGTATATTTGTGTTGCTCCTCAATTGTCTACAGCACATTGTGTTCCACAGTAGCCACCCAAGTGCTAACCACACCTGATTTTGCTTGCCCTCGGTGATCGGACTAGAACTGGTATTTTCAACCTGGTACGGCAGTAGACCAGTGGTAGGTCTGCGGTCCTAATTTAGAATTACCACCCTTTTCACGGGCATTATAGAAACAATTTAAAACATAACACCAAGATTTCCTCTCACGCCATATTTGTGTTGGATAATCTAATATTATAATCCCTTGCTTCGCCTCTAGTCAGACATACTCACACACTGAAGCACTTTTATGTATTCCTTAATGTGCCTGTTCAAGCTGGTTATTTGCAGAAATAATTACACCAATGGAACATGGTTGAGAGGGAGGGAGAAACCAGATTATATAGTAATTTAACTCCAGCCTTGCAGGCCAGTAAAAAATTGCTTGGCGGGCCAGTTTTGGCACGCGGGCAATAGTTGCCCACCCCTGGCGTAGAATGTTCTTTCTAATGTATAGTTAATTCTGAGAAATGTCGTAGAGATATTTGTTTACATCTTCTTATTCTTATTAGCACAAGTCACGTGCTTATATATCATCTTGTTAGTTCACAGCCTTCTGTCTTATATTATGTAAATTATTCCCTAAACAGGAGTTCGTCTAGACCAGAGTTTCTCAACCTATAGGTCGCGACCCCTTTTTTGGGTCGAAGGACCCTTTCACAGGGGTCGCCAAAAACCATTGCAAAACACGTTTTCACTTAAAGTTATAAAGCAGCGACGAAAATAATTATATGGTTTGGGGGAGGAAGGGGGTGGGGGGTCACAACATGAGGAACTATTAAAGAGTCGCCGCATTAGGAAGGCTGAGAACCATTGCTTAAGAGGCCTTGTGGTGTATACCGGCGCCCCCTTTTTGTTCTTTCTTTAAATAAAAAAAAAATAAAAAAAAACGTCATGCATGTGGCTATAATTTTATTTCTCCGTTTATTCTTTGGTTATGATATATTATTATCAGCTTTATACCAACGCTTGTCCTGTCCATCGCCAACGTTTTTTCCCTCATCTCATGAAGCGCAAGTTTTTATAGTTCTCTCGATGCGATGTACAAGGGTTCCAATTGCAGCACAGGACAGTTTACAAAAAAAAAAAAAAAAAAGAATATTCTCGTTAACTTGATTCTGAAGTACGAGAGGCATACCGTGTAAGAGATGAGGTTCTGATCATGTAATATTCTCAAAGACACCTGTGAAAGCACTGCCGCCAAATTCCACTGCCGCCAATTTCCATTGTTGCAAATTCCACTGCCGCCAAATTCCATTGCTGCAAATTCCACTGCCCCGTACGAGTTATTTTTATTACATAGTTAAGTTTGAAAACAAACAATATCCGATGCAAAATCTGTGTCAGTTGAAATGAGATTGCGAATTATCAGTAGCTGTATACCTGAAATAGGTTAGTTGTGTATACTTTACAGGACAGTGCAGAACCAACCCCAACAGCCTCTAGCTGTTGTGTGTTTTCTAGGCAAATGTACGTCCAGTAGTTTGCTATTTCTTTCTGACTGACTTTCTACCCCACCATGGCACCACACAAGCGATAAACACCCGATGACACAAAGTGCCACCATGCGGATGAGGATCGCCGTGGAGAGGTCCCAGAAACCGCGTTCAGACATTTGGCCATATGTATGGTCTGCCTATATTGCGGCCCCTGGCAAAAGCCAGAGTAGGGCTTCAAATGACAAAAAATTTCGTCGGTCGGCTTTTTTTTTTATACAACTGTCGAAACCAGTGTTGCCACTTTTATTTGATAAAAATCATCCAAAACGAAGTCAAAAGATATCTAAAAACGTAGAAAACATCTAGAAAAAAAACATCCAAATGGAAAGAGTTACAAATTACATAGCAATTGATATGACTTAACCTATAGAATCTGTCCTCATCTTTACTGATGTCTGCCTTTTAAGATCCAAAGGTTAAACTTAAATTGTATAATGAAGTTGAAGCTTCAGATCAAAAATGACTCTGGTATGCTTTAGCTGTTCAATTTCTTTTAATACCCACTCAGGGAGCTGATAAGCGGAACAGCCTTTTCCTACTCTTATCAGGCCCAATGTTATTGTCAAGAAAACATTTAGGAGGTCAAATTTCATCCTGTTTGTTAGGAAAGATTTGATAAATTTACTCCGAATGAAAACATCTAGAAAAACATCTACCATCTAAACGTCAAAAAGGCCATCTAAATGCAAGAAAAAACATCTAAATCTCAATGTAAAACATCCAAAGTGGCAACACTGGTCGAAACCAACACAAGGCGCATGGCCCAAAGCTAAGATCGAACCATATCCTGATACACAGAAGTGAATAATGGACAGTTTGATGATTAGTAAAAAAATTATTTGGGAGTGGCGAAGATGTGATTTTTTTAGACAAACGATGAGAATACCCTGGGTAAATTGAAAAACAAAAAATAAAAGAGTAATATAGATGTCTTGAGAAATAAAAAACCGACTCATGAAGAACAAAAATTGATAACCTCCTCTACGGGCCTTAGAAGAAAGGCAGTGAAAAAAAAAAAAGGAAATAAAAGTTATATATTCATCAACTATCTAAAACAGTTCTACGAAACTTTACTTCAGCTGAATAAAATAGTTCGTCATAATTCAAGTTTAAAGAATTATAATTCAGCTAAATAAAATAGTGCCTCGGAAGTATAAACATGAGTGCACCCTGAAAGTCTAAGGGGACCGGAATTACTGATGACCAGATTTTGTAAATGTCAACCTGTGCTATTTTATTGTTTCGCTGACTGTATTAGATGTATGCGTGACATTTGACATCTGCAACATCAATAGAGTAATGCAACCAGACACTTCATATCAACAGAGGTCCCAGAAGTTCATCGCCATGCTCCCAGAAGACAAACAAGAATTTGCTTCCCAGTTACGCAGAAAACAACTTCAGCGTCAACTGCCTCTGCACGATCTGGACCCCAGCTTCTGTAACAGTCTGGCCACCTCAGAGCTGGTGAAGTTCGAGAAATTTGCTGAAAGAAGACGGAAGAAGGCCGCAGGTATTGGACAGATCGGTGAAGTGACCTCTTCAGGGTCCATTGTAGTAAGTACATGTTTCCTTCTATGGTAAGTTAAAAGATTAGTTGCGTATCCTTTACAGGACGTTGCAGAACCAACCCCGACAGCCTCTGGTTGTTGTGTGGTTTCTCTAGGCAAATGTACGTGCAGTAGTTTGCCATCCCCCTGGACGGTCGGCCCCCTGATACCACTGTCAAAACCAATGTAAGGCACATGGCCAGCAGCTGGGATCGAACCCGGCACCCCGGCATTACGAAGCGTTCGCATCGACTTAGCCACAGAGCCGACATTTCCTTCAATAAGAGAGATGTAATGTACTTGTAGATGCTTTAACATTATAATTCATCAAAAGGGGTAAAGTCAGGCAAGGACGCTACACAGGAACCCAAAGAAGAACAGTAAACCAACACAGAACTGGTGTCATAAGCCACTACACGCTGAGGGCGATACTGAAGAGGGGATCTGAGCACTAATGGACTAGATGGTGCTATGATGATAATATGCCGACTAACTAACTATTTTAATTGACTGTGTTCATGGATATGTTAATGAGGGTTCTATCATCATCATTAATACCACTGTTGTTGTCAGTGTTAAATTCCCATGTCCCCGTCTGGGTTCCGGGGCTCCTTTGTCGGGGACAACCAGCGTAGATCCACCGCCTCCCTAACAAGCATGTCGTAAATGTCGGTCTATTAGGAATGATTCCTTCGAAGTCGAAGTGTATTCCTTCGAAGTCGAAGTGTATTTCTTTCGAAGTCGAAGTGTATTCCTTTAACGTCGAAGTGTATTCCTTTGACGTCGAAGTGTATTCCTTTGACGTCGAAGTGTATTCCTTGGAAGTCGAAGTGTATTACTTCGAAGTCGAAGTGTATTCTTTCGAAGTCGAAGTGTATTCTTTCGAAGTCAGAGTGTATTTCCCAGAGAGACGACGAACCAACAGTTTGCATAGAAAAGTAAAGGTCTGTTAAAATCGGCGTTCCCCAGGCTGAGATTCAGTAACAAGATTAAAAGTCCAGAAGTTGACGTACAGCCGTAACTTTCCATCGCAGCTTAGAGCCGGTGTGCGCGAAGAAGACAAAGAAGTCATTATAAAATAAACCGTTTCAAACACAGTTTGTGGTTATCAGACAAAGCATGCGGCCCAAACCTGGATGTGGATGCTTTCTTGCCCAAATTTGACATTGTGGTCTCTCATTTAACATCCAGTCAAGATAAAACAAGAAAGAAACAAAGATAGGCAGGCAGACAGATAAATTGATTGAAAGAAAGAAAGCTAGGCAGGCAAGAAGATTGATTGAAAGAAAGAAGGGAAAAGAAAGAATGAAAGGACGAAAGAAAGAAAGAAAGAAAGAAAGAAAGAAAGAAAGAAAGAAAGAAAGAAAGAAAGAAAGAAAGAAAGAAAGAAAGAAAGAAAGAAAGAAAGAAAGAAAGAAAGAAAGAAAGAAAGAAAGAAAGAAAGAAAGAAAGAAAGAAAGAAAGAAAAAAAGAAAGAGAGAGAGAAAGAGAGAAAGAGAGAAAGAGAGAAAGAGAGAAAGAGAGAAAGAGAGAAAGAAAGAAAGAGAGAAAGAGAGAAAGAGAGAAGGAGAGAAGGAGAGAAGGAGAGAAGGAGAGAAGGAGAGAAAGAGAGAAAGAGAGAAAGAGAGAAAGCACGCACGCACGCACGCACGCACGCACGCACGGACGGACGGACGGACGGACGGAATGAACCGACGAACGGACGGATGAAATGAACGGACGAACGGACGAACGGACGAAATGAACGGACGAACGGACGAAATGAACGGACGAACGGACGAAATGAACGGACGAACGGACGAAATGAACGGACGAAATGAACGGACGAACGGATAAAATGAACGGACGAACGGATAAAATGAACAGACGAACGGATGAAATGACGGACGAACGGATGAAATGAACGGACGAACGGATGAAATGAACGGACGAACGGATGAAATGAACGGAAGAACGGATGAAATGAACGGACGAACGGATGAAATGAACGGAAGAACGGATGAAATGAACGGACGAAAAAAAAGAAAGAAAAATCGCTGATTTAAAAAGAAAACTTTCTGAAATCTCCAGATGTCACTGAAGCATGAAAATGTATTTAAAAAATGTGCACATGCAAGAGACCAGGTAGGTGAAAGATTAGCACACGTGCGTGGCGCCGACTTTACCTGCGATAGGGCGCGTGAGAATGACCTTCTGATGTCCTTGGTACACATTTGCCCTTTCATAATCGTGCTGCCAACAATAGTGTAAAAGGAAATCCAACTCACTGTTCATATTCTGATAACTTCAGTTGGGTTTGTGAAGTACCATCCAGGACACAAGGAAAATATTGGAAGGTTCAATAACTGTAACCATGGAGATGAGATGGGCTTCAAGAGTGGCCAGAAGTGAAAAAATCGGGAATGAGGTCATAAGAGAAAAACGTTGGCACAGAACAAATTCTAAATTACATACAAAGGCAGCAAATTAAATGGTTTGGACACTTAGAGAGAATGCATTGGGACTGTATAAGGCATTCCCCAAAAGAGAAGAAGGGCGTAGATCACGAGGTGGACCAAGAACAAGATGGACAGATAATATCAAAGAAACTCTACAACAGCACGATGTGTCCATGGTCTAGGCGGCTAGGAGAGCAAGAAACAGAACAGTATATCCCCCGTGTGGGTTCCGGGACCCTGTTTTAGGGAAAACAAGAATAGATCCACTGCCTACCCAAAAGCATGTCATAAGAGTCGTCTAATTGGGAGCTTACTTCGAAGTCGGAGTGCATCTGCCTGAGAGGCAAGGAACTAACAGTCTGCACACAAATGTGTCATATCTGTCAAGCGGATGCACACGCAAAACTCAAGTTCTGCAACAGGACTGCAGTCCAGAAGTGGACGAATAACCAGAACTTTCCACCAGAGTTTACAGCTTGTGAACGCGAAGAAGAAGAACAGTATATCTCCCTCGTTACCTGAAGCAGTAAAAGAGGAACTGAAGAAGAAATGAATGAATGAATCAATCAATCAAGAATTGACATTACTGCACTCGGGACATTCCCACACATGCTCCGTCCTCTTCTTCAGCAGCCAGTGAAGAGTAGACAGCCTAATAGTACCAGTTGCAACCTGATTATAAGTCCACCTCTGTTTCCCCTTTAGTGTGGAATGCCTTCCAGAACCTATACTCACCTCCCTCCCCTCCCCCGTAAACTTAGTCTTTCGGTGTATTGATTCCCTATTTGTTCCTCTGCTCTGTCCATTTGATCCCATAGTGCCTTCATCAAATCCGCTTTATTATACAGCAGCTCACCGCCACAAGTGGCAGCAGCTAATCTGTCAGCCTGCTCGTTATTTCGTACACCTAAATATCCTGGACAGAAAACCCGGGTCATACTCTTGAACTGGGTCTTATCGTGTCATGCAAGTCACTCTAATTGCAGGACACCAGCTTCAGTTTTTCGTACCATGCTCTGTGAGTCAGTATTATCACACCCACCTGGTTGTGCTAATCTCAAGCCATCGGAAAGCTGCATTTACTGCCTCCACCTCCATTCTCATACTGGATACAGTGACGTTGTATTCGAGGCTCTCTGTTTTCAAGCAGTGTCCATTCACTTTTGCTCACTCTTCTTACCTCTCACCATATGACCCATCTGTATATATTATTATGTCAAATAATAGCAGCTATTCATTGCCGACAACATCGGTCCAAGGTAACTATCACTCTGTCAAGTATGTTTTGCTGGGAGGCACTGCAACCCATTCTTCACCATTCGCTATCTTGTCAGTGGCACAGACAATTCTGATCTTGACTTCTGCTTGTGCCATCCAAGAGCCATCTCTTTTCAGCTGTTGTCCTTAGTTATCTCCCAACGCCCTAAGGTCTCACGTAGAAGTGGTTCCTTGTCCATTGCGACTTTAATGTAAATTTTCGCCAGTAAAACCGTGTATCTCTTGTATGCGGATGGTAATGCAAATATGTGCCGCATGCACACAAATGACATGTCCCGTGTACATCCCAAAATTACTTGAATGGCTTTATTTTAGTAGTAGTAGATTTTTTACCCCACTAGGACATCACACAAGCGATAAACAACCGATGACACAAAGTGCCACCATGTGGATGAGGTTCTTCCGTGGAGAGGTCACAAAAACCGCGTTCAGCCGTTAGACCATACTTATGGTGGGGCTGTTTGCGGTCCCTTGCAAGAGCGAGAGTAGAGCTTAAAAAAAAAAGAAAAATTACATCTCACAAGGAAATGACTGGATGTATATGATGGCTTCCTTTTATATACGTTCCAACTTCTCTGTTTGGATATGAGATCATGTTAGCAGTCCCAATCCATACTCCATCACCGAAGTAATCAATTGCTGATTGAGTGTATAAAACATTTTCTGTTCCATGTCCGCCGATCCCAACACCTTCAAAGCATTGAGTCTTTTTCCTATCTTTAAAACATCTTCCACTTGGTATTTGAAAGACTCGTGTCAAAAGTAATTCCTTAATATTTTAGTGAATTATCTCTCTTTATGTCGGCGTCTGTGGCTAGGGCGATGCGAACGCGCTTCGTAATGTCGGGGTGCCGGGTTCGATCCCAGCTGCGTGCGATTTGTCTTGCGTTGGTTTCGACAGAGGTACCGAGTGCTGACCGTTTAAAAAGCAATAGCAAACTACTGAACGTAAAATTTGCCTAGAAAAACCACAACAGCCAAAAAAATACTAGGGTTGGTTCTGCAACGTCCTGTAAAGGATCGGCAACTAACTTTCTCTCTTTATATTGCAATCGGTTACGGTGATATCCGGCAACACATCTCTAATTCTATTATTTACAGAACGCAACAAAACCGCCGCTTTATCTGTGTTGATGACCGAGACTTTCCTCACACCACTTGCTGACTAGCCTTATCTACCACAGACTGCAGCTCTCTAGATACATTATTTCTTTTATACTGCTTTCCTGAGTGAAAGAAAAAGAATATGAAGAAGAAAGAAAGTTGGAAAGAAAGAAAGAAAAAAGAA